AAGTGACTTACGGATGTTCTTCACACTTATGATTATTGCAGCATCCCCATGGCCACATGATCAAAATTTGGATGTTTGGCGACTGCCTCATATTTATGATGGTTGCAGTGTCCTGGGGTCATGTAGTCACCTTTTGCAACCTTCAGCCAAGCAAAGTCAGTGGGAAAGTCAGATTGACTTAACAACCAGGTTACTGATTTAACTAAACTGTAGCAAGAAAGATTGTAAAATGGGGCAAAACTCACTTAACAAATGTCTCACTTAGCAATAGAAACTTTGGGCTCAATTATGTCCGTAGATTGAGGACTACCTGTATAGGGAGATTTCTTTACTTAATGGATATTTACATGGTAGAATTTATTGCCATTAGATTGGGAATTGGTACTGTTTCCAGACTTTCAGTGAATAACAGTGTACACTACCGTAAACACTATGCAAGTATTTTAATATTGCAGACTTGTGGTATTATAAGTGTTACTGACATTATATAACACTTTTAATTAAGTGGGTACCTTGAATAAACATAACTTTGAGTGTCAAATGGCACTGATTTCGTTGTTGTCTTGGGTGACATCTGTGGAAAAAATTCAAGTGCTCAGGCATGAAAATGTGCCGCTCAAACACTATACTTTTCCGCACATACTGAAAAAAAATTAGAGGGAACATTGACCTTCACACCTTGTGCCATTTTTGCTGCCAGTCTCTAGACTTGCTCAAACTTATGTCTTTTTTTAAGTGAGGTCTCTAGAACTAGACACAGTATTTAGATGTTTTGGGTGTTTGATTACAATTGTACATATAACTGCTGAGAGAAAGATTGGAAAGCACTTACATAATTTTTTCATGTTTTCTGTTTCATTTCATTTCTGTTCTGTTGTTTTCATTTTTTTTCTATCTCCCTTTTCCCTTTCTTTCTCTTTTCCCTTTCTTTTTTCCCTTTCCCGTTTACTTTATTATACTTTTTTCTTGAATGTAGTTCTTATTACATACGTAAAAATCTGTTCATGAAAACTAAAGAAAGGACAAAGATGGACTTTGTAACCGTTAGACTTCAAAACTGATATTGACAAAGAGTTTCTGATTTGCATTCACCAAATAGAAGTGAATGAATTAATTGCTTTAATATTATGCCTGCCTTGATTTGAAAAGATTATTGCTGTTGCAAAGATTATTTGGAAGCAAATGTCTTAACATCAGTGATATAAACAATAACAATGCCTCGAATGCTAAGCAGATTTCTCTGTTTTTGCCTCTAAGATGGTGTCACAGCTAAAATGTAAGGTGATTGTAATAATGACACACACATCATTAGGTTGAATTAGTGTGCTCAAGATTGTATGGTGCAACCCAGATTTTATTTGTATTAAATTAGACAAAATAAAATTTCTTGCTTCTTCCAGTTCATCTAAATGCTAGCTGATTAACATTCCCCCTTTCTCCTTTTGTCTAATATGAAGTAGGTTTTCCCATAGTGATCTTTTTCCCCTCTTCCCCAAGTACTATAGAGAGTTAGTCAATATTGGCCTATTCCCCAGGCCCACTGAATTAATGCTTCAAAATCAGCTAGGGAGCTTCTGCTTGTGGATAGCACCAAGATGACTCATGGTTTCTCTTAAAACTAGGTCAGTTGATGTTCTTGTGAATGTGTTTATGAATGGAAAAAAAGAAACAGTCTATGGTTTCTCTTACCCTCTACTGCTTTGCTTACATGGAACCTTGACTCCAGGAATTATTTTGTATTAGAGGAAATGTTAGTTTTTCAATCGCCATTCCCCTCGAGAACAACAACCCAGAGGAGCAAGTGGTCAGTTTTAAGTTTCTGGGTGTTATCATAAAAGAGGACCTGACCTGGGCACTCACATTGCAGCACTGCTCAAAAGGGCCCAGCAGCAGAGATTATACTACTTGAGACTTCTCAGGAAACAACAACTGAATGAAAAGCTGCTGATGACCTTCTACAGCTGCACCATAGAGAGTATTTTAACTTACTGCACCTGTGTATGGTTTGCAAATTGCACAGTGGCAGATAGGATAGAGCTCCAGGTGGTTAACGTCATTGCCCAGAGGATCATTGGTTGCTCCCTCCCTTTTTTGGAAGAGCTTTATAGTTTTATAAACTAAACAGATGCAAAAACCAGTGAGATATACATATGAGTATATGAGGTGTGTTGCCCCTGGTTACTTGCTTTGGGGTATATTCCCTTTGCCATTTTTGTGGCCTTTGACCATGGTGATTTATCAAAACTGGAAGCTAAAGGCCAAGGCTTCTAACAAACACTGTGCTGCTGCCCTAGGATAGGCTGTTTTAGGCCACTTTGTTAACAGAAAACACAAACTTAGGTTGACCTAATTTAAATGCATTTTAATGTGGTTATTAAACAGTGCTTTATTGGCGAATGAAATCTTGCTTTCTGCATTTATTTGGTATCCAAACAAATTTGGTCTCTCTTGTTTATCGATACATGCTTCTAATAATCAGTGTGTTGTTCGAAACAACGCATGGGCACTTTGGAATACACTATTGTGGACATTTCTATATTGTTCTGTATCTTGAACTCTCAAGTTCTCTTACCACAAAGTTGTTAAGATTATCTATTTTATATTATTTGCAGGTGGAGATTTACATTTTATCTTTACATATTCACCTATGGATCCCGGATCTTAAAAAAGGTAAGATGCTTTCTCTTTGGGGCTAAATATTTTCTGCTGCACATAGGCAAAGCTTAACCCTCATATAGAAGTATTTTCAAATTTTTAAAAAAAGATTATACTTTTACTTATGTTTGGGGGCTTTTCGATTAATTCAGTGGCAATAGGGCTGCATCTCTGAATACAGTCAGAGGTATCAATTTGCATTATTCCAGATGCTTTCTGACTAAGTCCTGTTGCCAGAACACAAATATGCATTTTAATTCAGACATCATATTGAAGAACATTTAAAAGGAAGACACTGAACACATTTATGGAGTATGAGCAATAAACTGATTAGAAGTTTTAAAGTTCTAAACATTTTAATTTTCACATCTGTTTAAACCAAACACAGGCCTCATTTTGGTATTGAGCCTATTTCAATTGCTATGACAGTTAGTCTTTGACTAGAAAGGGACTGGGAGCTACAACAACTGATTCTCTGGAATCTTTCAGTAGATGTTTATACAATTATTATATATTTCTAGGATAGAAATTGAGATTACTATCCCATTCCTGACACCTGTACAGTTATAAATGGGACACTTCTGTAGCACAACATTTTGGGTTCTTTATGTTTCTATTGTATAGACCAATGCAATATCTAATAAAACAAGATTAGGAATCAACAATCCCACCACACAATTCTCATGCAGATCCAGGTACAAATCCCTCTAACAAAATGCAAATATAAATATAATTTGGGGAAAATCTAGTGAGATTGCCAGTTTCTGAATAAGGATATCCAACATTATTGTCCCCTTTAATGCTTCAGCGCACTCCTTGATGCATCTTCGTTACAGTGCAAAGCACAAGTTAATTGTGTGACAGTAATTGTCTCTACTCAGCTGCAATGAGATAGAAAAGATGATTCTTTAATCTGAAGACTAAAGCAGGCAAGATGGGAAACAAGGAACCTCGGAGCAGACAAGACTGTTTTGTAACAACAGCGCAGGGACCTACAACAGTCGTGTCTGAGAAATGGGCTCATACAGTCTGATGTGGGAAAGGAAAGAAATCCTGCTTCTTTTTCTGTAAAGAATAGAAGCTAGAAAACAGATTTAAAAAATAGTAGAAACTAAAAGTCTGTAGAGATTCTCAGTCATTTAGGTCATGGTTGTCTCAAAGGTGCTTTTTCAGGAGGCAACTGGACTTTCTTGTTGTTTCTTTTGAAGACATTTCGCTTCTCATCCAAGAATCTTCTTCAGCTCTGACAGGATAGATAATCCTTCCATTCGCCACTATCCTGTCAGAGCTGAAGAAGCTTCTTGGATGAGAAGCGAAATGTCTTCAAAAGAAACAAGAAAGTCCAGTTGCCTCCTGAAAAAAAAATCACTCTTGGGAGTAGAAGCTTAAATTCTATAGAAGCTGTTCATCATTATTACTAAGACTATCTCATCTCTGCAGTAACTTTAAATTTATCATTGCATGAGAACTGGAGCCTTCAAATAAGATTAATTGCAGTGGCTCTGGTGTAAATTGACTTGTAATTATTTGTTTTTCTGGAAGCTTCCAAGTACCTGAAGATATTTCAGTACCTGAACTCTAGTTAATTATACAGTGAATTATGTACAACTTGGGAATGTTATGATTTTATTATGTTGGCGCTATGCTCGTTTTGCCACTAAATTACCAGTTTGTGAAAAATGTAGTTTTCATCTTTCAAGAGTTTAAGTGGAGAATATTCTTATGTGTCTGTACCTATGTATGCCTTAAAATCTCTGGGAGGTTTTGTAAAGGAGCCTGTCCACAGGTCCGTAGAATACATTACTGCTTTCTATGGAAGCCCCCCCTAAAATTTGTACTGTTCATGGAAAAGATTCCAGATTGAAAACCTTATCTGAGACTTTGGAAAACTATTCCTATACTGGACTCTATGGGCAAATAATCTGACCTGAAGGAATTATCTCCTTATGAACATTGCAGATTCAATGTCATGACTACTTTTCTTTGGCATCTTCTCCTAGCTGTTTGAGTGGGTAGTAGAATCTGTTTCTGACAGGCAGTACTCCAAGATCAGTGAAGGGAGCGGGAATACAGAACAGTGAAAGATTTTTCTGCTATATATTTTCCCAACTGCCAGTCATCATAAGGCCCAAATTCAGTCAATTGTTACACATCTTCCTTTTTTTTAAATCCCTGCCCTAAATGGCCAATCTTTTCAAAAATATCAAAATATTTTAAGTAATGAATGGAACACCTTTTTTTCATTCCAGAAAATCTGTAGTGAAATCTGTCTTTGCATTTACCATTATGTTTTTTGGGGAAGAGGAAACTGTAAAAATATTTCCATAGCATATGGCTACTTGAAAACCTTCCTTGAAAACATGCAATTGAGTAATTTATTCAAAGTGATTGTCCAAAATCATCCATATCCATAGGGTACTGTATGGTATATGGATAGTACATACAGAGCAGATTATAGTAGTATATCTAGTGCAAATACAATAGTGCATAGTGCAGATATAGAAGGAAGGGTGAGAAAGAAATAATCCTGCCCCGCTTTTGTTTATTAGAAGATCAGAGAGAGAGATATTTGGACAGGCTTTCAAGATTGATATCAACCTTTCAAGGCTGGCCGTATCAAGAAACAGAGGAACAAGGATTCCAGGAATATTACTTTATTTTGGTAGGGCATGACCAAATTGTGAAGTCCTATCAGTTTCTCTCTATCTCATATTAAACAAAATCACAAGATTATTTTGAGTTCCTTCTTCCTTTTATCTCAAGACTGTGCCTTATTTGGTCCAACTCTACTCACAGTATCTTTTTCATATTTTCCCAAGATTAAATTTCTCATTAATTCATTCATCCATCATATGGCATTTCATGCACAGACTACCAAGATTAGTAAAATCTTGCCTGGATTTTCCATTGATTAGTAAAACACAATATAAATATTAAAAAGATCTATCTTCAAATATCAATGTCTAGGCCATCTAACCTCTACATTCTTTTAGAAGTAGTCAGAAAGCGATTATTATCAATACCCACGAAACCATTTGTTCAGAGTAACATGAGAGTTTCTTGCCTGCAACTGTATACACTATTAGCCTGGGTCAAGTTAGGAAGCAAATTGTACTCTGAGAGTACAAAGTACAAGGAAGGTGCTTTTTCAGGAGGCAACTGGACTTTCTTGTTCTTTGTTTTGAAGATGTTTCGCTTCTCATCCAAGAAGTTTCTTCAGCTTTGACCAGAAAGTCCAATTACCTCCTGAAAAAGCACCTTTGGGACAACCATGACCTGGATGACTGAGAATCTCCATAGACTAAAGTAGAAGAAAAATTTTGGACCATAAAGAAGACTTAGCACTGAAGAATTGATGTTTTCAAGCTGTGGTATTGGAGAAGACTCTTGAGAGTCCCTTGGACTGCAAGGAGATCAAATCAGTCAATCCTAAAGAAAATCAACCCTGACTTCTTCAGAAGGACAGATACTGAAACTGAAACTCAAATATATTTTTCAGCAAATAAGAAGAGAAGACCTGTTAGAAAAGGCCCTGATGTTGGGGAAGATAGAAGGCAAAAGGAGAAGGGCACAGTAGAGGATGAAATGGTTAGATAATGCCATTGACATGGTGATCATGGGTTGGATGAACTGGTTGGTTGAGATAGTGGAAGAAGGTGGTGGTGGGGTGACATATTGTGGTCCATGGAGTTGCAGATGCGGAGGGTCAGGCACGACTGGACTGAAGAATAAAAAAATTATCTTCTAAAGGTCTCACGAGGAAAAAAAACACTCTTGACAAGAAGATATAATCCTAGATGATTGATTGAAAGCTTCGTCTTTCATCTTAATAGGTCATCTTAATTTAAACAGGTATTCTTAGTCCTTAGGTGCTCCAGGTGGCGGATTAAGCTTTTGAGAGGCACACGCGTTTAGAGCAAAAGAGAGTACGTGCATTCAAACGGACTCCCTCGCAGAGCTTCCCTAGAAAAATATAGGCTTAAATCTTTCCTTCAAAGAGATACATCTACACCGATCTACCCACACCATCTTTTCCATTTGCTCTCCCGTGACTCTCCCATTGCTCTATCATCCGGCTCCAACTTCTCCACCTTGCTTTTTCTGCTACCACAATTTTCTTCTTGCTATGCCTGCTGTTACTGCCTCTCGTTGCTGCCCTTCATCTTGCTTTTGCCACTTGCCAGCTACATACATACTCCTTTAAAAAGGAGGGTTTGTTACCTCTATTTTTCTGGCTATTTATTTGTTGATCTGAATTACTGGCTATTCATTCTCTGTCATCCCATACAACAATATTGTCCTTCTTCCATTATAAAGTTTCAGAGGCTCTCAGTTGGCACAGTAAGATGAAAAAAAGTACATCACCTTTAACGTCTCTTTTGTAAATTTAATATAAGAAAGTTATCCATGCCACTCTCTTGGTTTGTTGTTTGTATACTTCTTTTAATTTTTAAGATAGATGGTTTCTATTTAAAAAATAATAATCCCAAATTTAAATTTTTATAAATAACTCAGGATGGTGAACATACCTAATATTCCTTCCTATTTCTGTTTTTCCCACAAAAATCCCATGAGTACATTGAGCTGAGAGGGACTGGCACAAAGTCATCCTGCTGGTTTTCATACCTTAGAGGGTTTCTAAGCTGATACTCTAACCATTAGAACAGTGTCTCTACTTTCTATGTCCAGTGTATCATTTTTCCTCATATCATGCTTGTAGCATATCATTCTTAGATCCACTTTCAAATCAGTCTCAATCATGGCAGATAAAACTTGTTCCTCTTCCATAACATCATTTAAATACAGTCTATCTATAGAGACAACACTCTTAAATTAAATTAACTTCTCTCTGTATGTTAAAATATTTTGTTCAATTCTGTACTAGTAAATCAAATGTAATTGTTCTTTTCTTTTCATTGTAATCTTTAATTACTTCTGCTTAATCTCTAGTACCCAACCTTCAAAGTCTCATCCTGTCATGTTTTTAAAGAGAATTCAAAACAAAAGAATTTTCC